CAAATTTTATAAATCTTCTTTTTCTATTAGTTATAAAGCCTGCTTTGTTAGTCCTTGTACAGATTGGATTCCCACTCACAGGAACTGCAGCCCTTTAACCCTTAATCACAGGTCATAGTGACCACACCGTTTTCCAAAATGTTCGGAACACCCCTATTTTTTAGAAATGGACCGTTCTGTTTGCGAATAGAATTTATAAAATTTGTTAATTTGATCAATACATGAACATTGCAACTATACAAAGTAAATTTAACAACATATCCCATCTATGATTTTAATAGATTAAGAAAATTGTATGAGTAGTCATTAGGATCTCATGTCTGTAATAGCGTAGCTGAAATATTACGTCTGTGGTTAAGGGTTAACCTCAACTAGGATATTTGGTTTAAATACCTGATATGGCATTATTACAATTATAATTATAATATAATTGTTAGAGATATCAGATTTAAAGTTAGAGTTAAGACACACTGAAAGAGGCAGAAGAAGAAATTGGGAGCTTTTACTTCCCATTCAGTTAAGCTAATTTTAAAATTACTTTTCAAACCTTAAACTATTGTTAATCTTAACTTTAGTTTGTTTACAATGTTTTCTTTATAAGGCACAATGTTAATTTATTTAAATTAATGACGGGCAAGATTCATTGTGCTTTGCTTAACAAATTAATCACAACAAGTTTTGAAAATGAACCTCAGTTTTGATTAATCCAACACGATGACAAAAGCTAGAATTGGCTACCTTCATTTCTAACATCATAGAATTCAAGGCAGCCACTTCTGCCATCAGGTTTGATCTCTTATACAATGCAGAAACCCAGATTAATGTTTTCCCCACAAATGTCTGTGTAGTCTCCAGCTAAGCATCTAATGAGAGGGAATCCACCATTTCCACCAACTGGCACTTTCATTGAATTCATTTGGTTGACCATATCCTAATAGTTAACCAAATGTTTCACATTCTGAAATTAAGGAATATTGTTTCTTAATTTCCTTTCAGGTATTTGGTGAGTGCTTGCCCACAAGTGGTAATTCTTATTATGGCATGAGAAGCTGAAGAAATGGAAATTCACAAGATGACAACTGACTAGATTAATCCTCATCTTAATGTCTATATGTTGTTGTCAATTGGAATCCTTCAGTTAATAACTGACATTTTGAATTATACACACCTCATGGTCTTGCAGGTCATTTTCTAGTTTGAGAACCTTCTTCAAGGCACCATTGACAATGCTCTTTCTTTTGTGTAAAAAATCTTGCTCTTGTGAGCAAAGGTCATATCCCAAGCGGAGGTCAAGATTGGTCTTACTGAATTAAACACACAAGGAAATACATGTCAGCATACCTGTTCCATTTTCATGTTTGGACTCTTCTTCATTACTTGAAAATGCTAATGATCAAGGAAATCTTGAGTGAGAGCTTGTTTTTTTCCCTACATAATAAATGTTTTCCTACATAATAAATGTAACTAGAAGAGAAAAACAATTTATAAAGTGATTTGTTTTTAAATGGCAAATGACAATATTTATACCATGTTTTCCATAGTATTTATTTTGATTATCATGTGTACAAAACAGAATGCTATTATCTATTCTGCTATTAAAAGTGACATTAGAATTCATGCCACATTACTACATATATATTATATATACATGTAATTACAACAGAAATGAAAAATATTTGTCCTGAAATAATATAAAACACTACTATTTCCTTTAGGAACATGTCCCCAAACAAAGGTTGGGAAAATAAAACAGATTAAAACAGAAATAATCAGAATAGTTAAAATTGTAGCCATTACCATCCAAAATAGGATGGGTGTCTTACCAGTCTTCTGTCTTCACATGCAAAGCAAATTTCTTATTCTGAAAATTCAGAATACAAATATAGATTTCTTTACATTACTAACATATTTCATTCCATGAATCATCTATAATTTCTGGCACACACATAAAAAAAAGTGAATATGTACATTTCACCTGCTGGGCCAGAAGTTCAGAACCCCTAAATTGGTTACTGGGTAGTCCATATTATTTTGATGGGACATATGATAACAAGTAGCTATGATTATGCTTTAAGAGCTCATTTTTTAAAACATGTGAATATTTCATGGATATTTTAAGTAGTCAGTCAACACAGTCTGCAACAGGATATAAACAGTCAACCAAATAAAATTTGTAGTCAACTGAGAAGAAGTTTGATGTAATGATTAAGGCATTAGTACAAGCTAGAAACCAGGAGATTGTGACTTCTAATCCAGTGTTAGGCATAAAGCCAGCTGGGTAACCTTGGGATAATCACTCTGCATTATCCTTGGAAGGACACAATGGCAAACAACCTCTAAGAAACTATGCCAAGAAAATTATACAGATTTGCCCAGGCAGTCACTAGGAGTCCAGATGGACATGAAGATATATAGACACAAACACAGACACAGACACAAACACACAGTCAAACAGCTATGCAGTTTTTAATGAAAGAATGAATTGTATTTACATCCATCTGCATATTACAACATTCTAGTACAACCTCTTTTTCTCAAAATCTTGAAGAAGAATTTTCAGTTTAAGAGTGTTTAAGTTTAATTTTACATTTGAAACATTGGATGGTGATAGCAATTCCTGTCTACTATTTTTATCATACTTAATCATTACTACAATGATGTTTCTAACTTGAGTGTTGTTTTCTGAGCTAAATCAGTAAAATTTGTTTGATGCAAAGAACCTTGAATTCAAGTTCAAAATGCAATTGATTATATTGAGTGGTATGTTGATCTTTCCACTGCTAGGTCTGAGGTCCATAGGATTCAACAGAAGAAACAGAAAAGTACAGAGGACTGCAGCCAAAAAAGCAAAATATTATCCCTTTCTTCTGCATGAATAGAAACACAGTCTATTCGCCAAAGTAACAAAATCTTCTAATTAAATTCTTTGATTCCACATTCTGTTGCTTTACTTAACTAATATATTATTACATGATTCTGACCATGCAATTTATTGAGCATATCAAAAATCTTTGGTTACAAATGTGTATCTACATTGTTCTTTTTGGAACTTTTATATTGCAAAAACAGATTTAAAAAATGATAAGAATCGGTGCAGATCTCCTATTCCATATTATTTTCACACACATTTGAGATTTTTTTTTCATGCAGATAATACTATCATAACCATAGTTCAGTTAGAACATGTGCTATGGCAGAGATAAATTACCTTCCCCTTCCCTCCCAGCCCAGCTTGTGGGAAAAGTCAATTTAAAACATGGAAGCAGTTTAAAGCAATATTCAGCAAAATTCTACTCTTACCTCAGCTAATACTATTTTCTTGTTCTGAGGAATTGAATTTACTTCCACTTTTACAGATTTTTCTTCTTTATTATAAGAACATGGCCCCTGGAAAGATAATTACACTTCTGTACCCAAAAGAGTAGAAATTTGCATAATATGTATATGCAATCAATACCCAGATAAGCAGAGATCAACACCAAGATTAATATTAGACCAACAATCAAATACTGTAGCCCAGTCAAAGAATTACCAACTCAAATAAACAAACAAACAGTAAACAACAATCTAATAATAAGACCACGGACATACCACTTACAGGACAAGCCACAAGAATATAAACTGAGAATAAATCCCCACTACCTTCTAGCACTGATGATGTTGCCTAGCTGAATAATGAAATGTCTGCAAGAAAACAACCAATCTCAGAGTGTCTAAAGGACCCCCACAGTTAAACCCTGGGCAATAACTATTCTATTCTATCAATATGCAAGTTGTGCCATTCTTCAGTATAAATGTATACAAAACTGATATAATAAGAACAACAAACAGAGCCATTAATGAGAAAATGATGTTTGATAATAAACTCACAAATAAATAATCTAGATCCTCCTTTGGTAATCTAATATCCAATGTTGGATGTTTATATTTAATGTAGTGAAATGTAGTTTCCATACAGAAGTCAAAACCCAAACTAAATTCCTTATGTTCTTCATGAGATCCTTTTGCAATAAGATATAGTCTTTTTTCTATAAAAGAAAAGGAAAAGAGTGTTCACAAAAGCAATTGAATATGTTTTTAATACCACTTAAAAAAACAACAACAAAGTCAGTCTACAATGGAAGAATCCATCTGGAATGCATTACAGCAATCCAGTCAAAAGATGCCACTGAATGGATCAGTAGTTGCTGATAAAATGACCAATTTAAGACAATCATGTGCTAGGTAAGATTAGGCCACATTAAAGGAATGCCATCCTTAATTTAAACTGAAAGGAAGGAAGGGGGGAGGGAGGGAGGAAGGAAGGAAGGAAGGAAGGAAGGAAGGAAGGAAGGAAGGAAGGAAGGATGGATCTCTAAAATGCAAATTTCCTCATCTGTCTAATATAAACTGCCAACTCGAGCTGAAGCTGGAAATTTACCATCCACCCAAAGTGTATAACGAGGCCCACTTGTACAGATACTGTATGTGCATATGGATATCTTACCTCTCAGAAACCACAACCAATTAATTGAATGAACAGTAATGAATCTCAGCCACTTACAAATCATCCCATTTATAAAATCAGTTTATCTCCATCTTTGTATACCAATCATTCTCTCACATGGAAAAACTGAAATACACATATGTGAACGCCTACCCTTCCCTACTCCCTGCAGAAACAGGAAACAAAAGGGTCAGCAGTGCCAGACAGGAAAGAGCAAAGACAGGAGAGAAGAAAGTTGGCTCAACATATGTCAATGAGAGCTGCCTACTGACCAAGAGTACAGGAAATAAAGAAGTTCTGTTTAGACTTCACCCAAAAGCTTAGGATTTACCAAGGAAGTGATTAAGCAACCCTTCCAGATTAAGGTATACATACTTTTCTGTAGAGAGCTCTACAGTTCATTTATTCTCAGTCCGGTCTTTTATTCTTCTCAGCAGATCTAAGACCACCCACCAGTCCCAATTCACAAGTAGTGATGTACTGGAGAAAGAAAAATCCAGCTCCATGCTCTCATACAGCAAATACAATATATAATGTTACTTGGTACTTCACTTATTTCAAATGATGATATTTCTTTATTAGAAATATATTTTCATACAACTTGAGTAGGACTGCAATAGGTTAAAGAGATCATTCTTGATGAATCATATTTGTTAGATTTACTGGCCACCCAACTCCAGAACAATTCAGTTTACATTTTAAAAGGGTAGATTGGTGTTTCTTAAACCTTTTTTCCTCTTAAGAATCCTTCCCACTTAAAAAAAAAACAATAGAGGAACACCCCCCCCCCCATGAGAACTTTTGTTTGTATGAGTTATATTTATTGATAAGTTGGATATGGATCCAACATTAAAACTGACTCATTTGCTGCAGCTGCAGCTGTTTCTTGCCATGGGCTAGGGATTTTAATATTGTTTAGGCTGGCAAAATTTTGAGGAGCCTTGGAGCACACTTTTAAGAGAGATAGGAGCAGATAAATAACGACAAATGGAAGACATCATAAAGTTGCTTAATGTCACCTCAGTGAGATGGGCGACATAGAAGTTTAATAAAATAAATAAATAAATAAATGTCTGTACAGGTGAAACTCCATGTAGTACCAGAAATGTCAGGGATTTGACAGCCACCCTACCTCAAGGCCTGGAAGAACAGCCAGGGGTTTTTTTTTTAATACCACCAGGGTGGGAGCCACACCCTGCCTGATTACAGATGCTACACCTCTGAGTTTACAGAAAAAGTAATATTACTTGAGTTTCGCGCCTTTTTCTTCTCCACCTCGACCTCCAAACAGCGGACTTGTCGAGACTATAGAAATACAAAGAAATACAAGAGGACACTCAATTCAAATTGAAAGGGTAAAATTCCTGCTATTGGTTTTCCCTCTGAATGATAAGATGGTTTGCCAACCAGCACTGGGGGAGGGGAATAATACCCATTTCCTATAACATGATATGGCTGAGAACAGCTATTGAAATGTAACTCACCTGTTAATATTTTTAAAGGCAAGTGACAAATGTTTTGCATGTATGTATATATGTATTTAACTATACATAAAACACACACATACATTCAAAATCTAGTAATAGTAATAAATAAAACATAAATTTATATTTATTAAACTATCCCACTGATCTATTAGCTATATTTTTTTACACATTTAAAATCTCTTTTTTTTACATGGTGTATATATCCTATGCGGCATGCAGGATATACTCTGTGCATAACTGTATACAATCGTGCATTTGCATGTTACTGATATAATTATATTTTCAGGAAATGAAATACTACCATAATCCTAAAGTAATATTCACTTGGACAAACAGGATAGAAGATCAACTATAAAAGTCCCAAGGTTTAATTATGAGATACTTGAAAAAAATCAAGTAGCAATAGCAATAGCACTTAAACTTATATACTGCTTTATAGTGCTTTTACAGCTCTAAGTGGTTTACAGAGTCAGCATATTGCCCCCAACAATCTNTGCATACCCATAATGCAAGACATGTGTGACATCCCTCCTGGTGCATGCATGTGGGACTCACTGCACTTCCCTACCCTCCTGCATATGCGACTATGACCCCATGCTTGTCCCCCATCCCCTGCATGTGCATGTGAGCCCCTGCATGCAGCCTTCCCCCACTCATGTGCACGCAACCCCCCCATGCTGCCCCACCCCCCTGCATGTGCAGTAGAGACTTGAAAACCAGCCAGGCAGCGGGAGCCACATGCGCATACACAGTGGAGCTGAGCTCAGCCAACGGCTTGCCTGCCCGCAGAGAAAGCTCTGCGTGCCACCTGTGGCACGCGTGCCATAGGTTCACCATCATGGCAATAGGCGATATGTTGTTTGGGCGGGAGAGATATGCTTCCTTCATAGTCTCCAGACATATCCATTGTCTTTTTTTTAAAAAATTGCCAGTTTCTTCCACTGTACTAAATTTGGCTCTGTTCTGTTGTTTTCAGCGAGTTAGCCTGAAGAATTAAATGAGTTAAGCACTGACAGAAAATCTTTACATAGTTTCCTTACCTTGCTAGGTAAGTTGAAAAGAATAAAAAAAGGAAGCATGAGATTCTCCTTCTTACATTCTTTGGAATTGGTTTCTATTTCAGCAGCAATCTTTTGAATGCTTCCCAGTGCCCCCCCCTCCATATTTTGCATCCCATTGACCAAAGCAGAATGTTATCATTCTGCTGATGTCATCAAATTATAATTCCCAGCATCCCCTGCCATTCCCTTTGTGGATGGGTTTGATGGTTGTTGTAAACTAACCCCTGGAGGAGATGTTCTCCAGTCCTTCTGCAGGCACTCTTGTATTTGTTTTCCCAGAACAGATATTATTCTCTGAGGATATAAATTTCACTTCAGTAGCTTCGCTCACAGTTAATCTAAATATGTTGGTAAAAAGGTAAATTATAGTACAGAATTGAAGCTTTTGTTATTTGTAATTTTATTACAAGATATAGAGAAAGGGACACATTTAAATGGATTAAAGTACCTAATGGTTTTTAGTTAATCCTGGGTTGTGTGTGGCATGATTTCATCAATTTTTAGTTCTTTATTATATGTTTATTATACATTTATTCCTCAGCAACTTAGATTTGCCTCTGAACTCTTCTTTCCATTATTAAATCAACCCTCTTAATAGTTCAGAGGGTCCCTTTTCTTCATCTTCCCCCAGACTTAACAAACATCTTGAAACTACCTTACTGAAACAACACCATTGTTCTTTCTCAGAGAGGGCAGTGTGATATTTCTCTTTTTAATCCATACTGGGGAATCTCTTCTCTTTTCCTCTACTTTAATTAATATAGCTGTTTTCTCTTAACTCCCACGCTTGCCTGTTAGGCAATTCTTCCTTTCCTGTAGTGGCATGAACAAGCTCCATACTTATAACCATCATATTTGTCTCTGTTACTTAGCTTCTCTACCCTCCTCTACTTTGGTTTCAAAGAAAATTGCCTCTGCAGTTATTAAATTTGGAAGTGAAGGTTAAAGGGAGCAGAACGCTTTAATGCTACTTTGGATTCAGGTGGGAAACCCTGCTTCCTGCTAAGAACTTCTGCCAATATCCCTTTCATTATCTTCTAGGTGGTACTGTTTGTAGGTCCAAAGGCTGTGTCTCTTTCTCCTGATCTATAGAGGTGGGCTCTAACAGGAGCTGTCAGTGCAATTATATCATTCCTAGTAAAGTCTGGGGGTGGGTGCTTTTCATCTCTTTGACTCTAAAGCACAGGTTCTCCTTCTAAATGTTTGCCCCACTGAGCACAAAGAGCCACAATCTTATTAAAGAAGACAGCTGATTGAAATTTCATGAAAAGCTTTTTGCAGAGTCTGGCAAGGGCTTTACATAAGAGGCTTCACAAAGTGCTTTTAGCAGAGATAGGGAAGTCTTATGTAGGGCACTTGAACAAATGCTTGCCAAGGGTTTTATTTCAGATGCTCCTAAT